GTTATTCTATTGGGAACCCCATTGACCTAATCCTATTCATATTGGTTAAAGATATTCATTTAGTTTATAAATAGTCGCTGTTTAATTCTATATTTAGTAACAATGTTCTTCAGTCAATGAATCGTGAACAATAATATTGAACCTGTGTGGTATGCATTCAAGATCGACACCTTGTCTAAAGGAATTTTGATTATTGAATACTATTTGGAATGTCTTAATACTAACCATATTTGGTCATCTAATTGTAAAATTCATAATAAACTATTTAGAGGACTCTGCGTTATTTCTGGCGGTGCACTTGTAGCGTTAACCTCGTCAAAATATTGCTAAATATAGTGGTCAACATTATCACCCAGTCGCAGATTAAATTGATATAATTATTATTACGTCACATCTGTGTAATAGCACGTGGACTTTACCAGGGAATCATCCAGGGGAGGTAAGTGGCATCAGTAGCAAACGGTGGGCATATTCTGTCGTGTACATGACACCAACCACTGCTGTAATTGCAGGCACCATTCACCTTTTGCAAATAGTTTCGGTTTTCAAATTTCTACCGTAAAGTAAAATGTTAGAGTTCTTTAGTTATGTATTTGTTGTCTTCAATAGCCCAGTCGGAGCAGAACAGTAGGACGTTAAACGCTATCTCATTTATCTATTTTATTTGGATGAAAACTAACGCTTGATTTATAATGTGTGAATGGCTTCCTATGTTCGTTTTACTTGTCTTTACTACACTAGGATCTGAAAGAGTTATTATATAACCCGCGTTCTGGATGATGTGAGGGATTAGCCAATGAAACGGTCTGTTACGGTGAGTTTTTGACGTGGGGTGCGCGGAACTGTGGGTATCCTACTGGAAACATCAACGCTGATGTATGACATCATAGGGTCAAAAGCCGCCAGTATGAACCCTGATGCGACCTTCCACTGCAACTGATCAGATCTTCATGTAGTAGAGACCATCGAAAGTATAACAAAACGAAACGAAATATAGATCTGTATTTTAATCAAATTGATTATGGCTTAGATTCGAACATCTTGTGTTCAACAATCAAACCTGAAACTAAAATAATTAACAGAACACAGTTTTTATGGGATACAATCACTAGTTTATTCTAAAAGCACGACGTTTCGACAAGTATCCTCTTATCGTTATCAAGCACAAAAGAGGATACTTGTCGAAACGTCGTGCTTTTAGAATAAACTAGTGATTGTATCCCATAAAAACTGTGTTCTGTTAATTTGTTCCCTGATCGCTAAATGCCATTTAAAGAATAAAATAATTAATACACCAATACTGATCTTTAGTTTATACTGGTCGGTTGAATCAAACATACACGTCCATGCCGTGTACTTAACTGGTCAGCATAGGGGGTTGGATGGCCAAATGGTCAGCGCTGTATCATAAGGTCTGTCATTGAGTCAACTGGCGTGGTTCCCAATCCTCCGGTTTCCTCCTACTGCTAAAGACCGCTACAAGCAAGCGAATTACTGAAATAAAACTGAACCATATGTTAGTTTCGAAATGACCTAGTTTGTGTCGAGTGGACGTTAAACTCCATTTCTCTCTCTCTCTCTAACTGGTCAGTAGGATCAAACATCCACCCTATTACTCTCACTGCGGCAATGTTTTCCGGTATATAGTATAGCCCCTCTCACACTTACTTTAACGGAAAATGTTAAAAGTTATAAAAACTTCAATATTTAGTTTTACATTTTATTAATGAGAAAATGAAATTGCATAATCGTCTGAATAATATTATGAGTGTAGTAAAGGTGTAGTAAACTAAACTGTCTCCCTCTAAATTGCCGTCGTCATTAGCCCGGTTGGTCAAGAAGAGTAGGATCTTAACGCCCGCCCGACTGTTCTACAACAAGCGGACTAGTGGTGAAGACGGGGATAGGCTATGCAGTATTCTATGAGCGACATTTTGTCCGAACAGTGGCTTCCAATGATGAAATTGTTTTTGATATGAGCGACAATTTGTTCGGACAGTGGCTCCTAATAATGGAATTGTCTTTCATATGGGCGAAAATTTGTCCGGCGGTGGCTTCCAATGATGGAATTGTCTTTCAAACATTTTCTTCGAATTTTGTGAATGGAATAGAGTTTAACGTCTCTCTGACACAATACGTCGGCCATTTTGTCTCTCCGGCACAATACGTCGGCCAAGTTCTCCGGCACAATGCGTCGGCCAATCGGTCTCTCCGGCACAGTACGTCGGCCAATTTGTCTGTCCGGCACAATACGTCGATTATTTTGAGACTAACAAACAATCATATCGGTGCAATGCTCATCAAGAGAATGTTGCCTGGGCAGTGGAAGGTTTGCCTACTCTTTGTCGAATACCAAGAGTCAAGGATTCTTGTACATACATGCCAACCTGTTCATGCAAATCTGTTTTTTCGTCTCATCCGAAAGACTACGCGTCCAGGCCCTCCGTCTTGCCAAGCCATACGTCTTGCGCCAGACTGAAATATCCCGAGGAACTTACTTGACCAACATAGGGATCGAACCCACGACATCCTATTTAGTAAGTCAGTGTCATACTCACTGAGCCACCGTGACTAAAGAAATCTGAAAAACAGAAGATAAACTTACTGAGTAAAAAATAATATAACTGCTATCTTATTAATTTTTATTGACGAAATTAAATTAGATCTATTCTGTGGAATGGCGTCATTCATAAACTGTTTAGATGTTGAACTGAATTATACTGATTACAGTTTCCACAGTAGATAATTATTACGTATAATGTTGTTTAAGGTGGCGGCGAATAAGTTATACACTAACGCGTTAGATTAAGGTCTGTCATTGAGTCCCCACTTGCACGTGGTAAGTAATAGGGTCGCCTGTCCAACCTCATCGATTTTCTCCGTCCCCCCCTCCTTGCTAAAGACCCACACGCGCAATCGAATTATTGAATTAAAATTGAACCATAGTCCCTAAATGATTTAGCTTGCGTCGATCGGACAATGATAGTTTCAAGCATAGTAGACTATGGTGGTGGTGTGTATTTTGTGTTATATTTGGGAAGGAGGTAAAAATATAACTAGGTTGGGATTTATTCTATCATTCGGTAATTATTTGTTCAATAGTACGCAATTGGTGAAAAGGGGAAGGTTAAGAAAGCAGGATTTTGTTTGATATTTAATTTGACCTATTACGATGTATATTGTAAACACAGGAGATATAGTGTATGTTGTATATTCATAATGTGTATATCGAGTATGATATAGTCCAATGAATATTATATTGTATATTGAGTATGGTATATTATATATTGAGTATTGTATTGGTATATTGTATATGAAGTATGGTATATTGTATATTGTATATTATGTATGGTATATTGTATATTAAGTATGGTATATTGTATATTGAGTATGATATATTGTACATTAAGTTTGGTATATTGAGTATGGTATATTGTATATTAAGTATGGTATATTGAGTATTAAGTATGGTATAATGTATATTGTGTATGTTATATTGTATATTGTATATTAAGTATGGCATATTGTATATCGAGTATATGTATATTATACTATCTGTGTATTCTCTATTCTCAGTGAATGCCTATTGATTGTGTACACCAGTGGCCTAATACAATTGAGCCATAATAACGTCCAAATATCCTTCTGTTTGTTTCGAATCGGTTCATTGGTTAACAGATGACACAATTAATTATAATTATATGGAATACAAGATATAATTATCTCATGTGTTAACTTAAATAATCGGTTCAATGGGTATCGCAAAAAAGGTCTTTCGTTGACGGCGAATCAGTAGAGATTATTACCTTGTCTGGGCGCACTCGCACCTGTTGCTCCAGCCAGTTATATAAGTCGTGAACGAGGAGAAAGAGAGAATGGGGTTTAACGTCAACTCGACATAAACTAGTCATTTCGGGACTAACATATGGTTCAATTTTATTTCAATAATTCGCTCACGCGTAGATGTCTTTAGCAGTGGGAAGAAACTGGAGGACCCGGAGAAAACCCACGAGGTTGGACAGGCAACCCTACTCCTTGTCACGTACAACCGGGGAATCGAAACCACGCCAGTTGACTCAATGACAGACCTTATGATACAACGCGCACGCGCTAACCATTCGCCCCCACCCCGCTCGACGTGACCGAAGAAATGTATGCTTACTCTTTGTATTGTAGTAGTTATAAATATGCTGCTGTGTGGGGCTGTAAGTAGCTTCTGTGTATGAGACAGGGTGTGCTGATAGAATACCTAATAGCACTTTTCATTTCAGGATTCTACATTGAAAAATCTATATTGTATTTCGTACTCGCAGATTCTAAATTTTAATATTATGTACGAACAACTATAGGCGGTACCCTATGGATAGAACATTTCGCTATACCCCCAATCCCCGGCTAAAATTGTCCCTAAAATTAACAGTAGATCAAGACAGTAAATTTGTGTATATACGCGGAGTATACAGTATACGGTTATACAACACAGTAGGCCTACATGAAAAGTTAAAGTCAATTATCATAAACACAACCAGAGGTCGTGGTTTCAATATTCTAAACCATTTCGTTTCTCAATATAAATGCGTAATTAAATATTTAAAATCCGCTCCGTTGACTCTTTTTAGTGTCGAATGGGGTCATATTTTGTAAACACGGAGCACGCAATACCCCCCTTCAATGAGAAAATTGTTTCTTCTATTTTTGAGTGGCATATTCTCTGCTCACGTGGTCTAGCTATATAAAAATATAGCGGGCCAGTTCACTTTGGAATGTCAACAATGTTGGAGGGCGTGGCTTATGTCAATCACGTTATAACTCCCAATGTCGAGACGGGTCTATTCAATAACAGGGTTGCACAGGTGTGTATCATTTTACTCAATGTCCGCAAAATGGAAATTAGAAAACTAACTATCTAGTTCCGTCAGTCCGCCATTCTCAGTATTTTGGTTCTGTTCTAAAAAGCTAAAATTTAAATGTGGTATTCTAATTTGGAAATATTCCAGAACGAGGTCAGTTAAATATGTACAACCTAACACCCCTCATTCGTGCCATATTGTAAGTTAGTCTAAAACCTTAGTCGTTGAAGGGAGAGTTCAGGGTTAGGAATATCAGCGAAGTTTTTCGCGTAAGTATTATCGAAACTATTACTAATTTATTTGTGATAAAATTACATGATTTAAGCTACAGTTGGGTGTATTTTTTGTCCAACTTTACCCGTGTTAAGGTAGATTTTGGGTGACTTTCTGTTAGCTATGTAGCGGTCTATGATAACAAATAAAATGGCCGCCGAAACAGACTTGCTTGTCAAACGCGGTTCTTTCTTATTACATAGATATGTGTCATAGGTATTTATTTGAGCAAATAACTCCCACTGTGAATTAGTATACTATATATGCACGCTGGATTCATATTACAGGAATGTCAACATGACAGACTTGATAATTTCCACCAAATAACTCACTTGATCAAAGAAAAAAAATGTTACAAATTCTCTACGTATCAACTATCATGCTAGTTGGCAAGGTGGTTCAGATTCATTCAAGCGATGCGCATTAAAGTTAAAACCATTCCGTGTTGGCTCGTCGCGCAAATGTCTTATTTTGATTATTTTTTAATTCTGGTGTGTTAGGGTTTTAAAACTTTGGCTATTTTTATATTGTGAAGCATGCAAGTTGCAGTGCAAACGTATCCCTGGATGACTAGTATTATATACAAATGCCCTCGATAGAAGAATGCGCAACCATGTCACAGGTAATTTTTAAAGAGACGGTCGAATGTTCGGAAGAAGAAACAAAAAAATAATTACAGGCCAATATACATGTATATAACATTTCATTCACCATATATTTATTTTATTAGTTCATTAACAAAATATTTCCATGTAATAGAGTAACATTTCAAGATTTTAACTCATTAGTATGGTATAATTAAATCCACAAATTCTCAAGTAATCATTTCAGAACTGAGAAATCCTCTTAACCCAATTAATGAACAATATTTTATTATCAAAAAAAACCCTACTGCTACTGCAGATAATTAGTCTAAAAGGGGTTTGGGGATAATTTAATCACAGAGCTGAATGGTTGATGATCCATGAACAAGGGGTTGATTAAATGGGATTAATTAGAATTTTTTTGTTGATCTGATTAATGGGGCCAAACAATAACCTTGAAGTTTCTTTCTTTAATCTGCTTTTATCTTTCACTGAACATTGAATGATACAAATCAACAGACTAAACCTGGTCTATATATACATGTATATACTGGTGTGTACAGTTCACACAATATCAGATGTTGTACAATTTTTTAAAACAGTTTTAAGGAATTATGTGTTAAACAAGGCAGAGTGCACAACTAGGATACATTCCAGGTCTTTTTTTTTTAAACAATATTTTATTCACAGGATACCAAAACAAGCCAAAGATTTATATAAATCGGCTTCCCATAAGCAAGAAACATAAATGATATAAACATATATTATAATTATCAATATATAATAAGATTATAGGAAGAATATAAACAAGTTTTAGCTAGCATCAGGACCAAGAAGGGTTCGATAATTCCAGGTCTTATGGGTATACATGTACCTAAGTAATTGATTTTGAAAGATGACATACATGTACATGTATATACATAGTATTGAATTGTATTATATATCCTTCTTGTAATGTTAGAAATAAAATAGGCCTGGTTTCTTTGATTTAAGTACGTACCCAACAGTTGAACTTGATAGATTTGTATGATGTTTATTTTATGTGACTGTAGATTCATTCCACAGGGGTATGTTACACCTCTTATCTCTTACCTTGATCATCAGAGTATGTACAGGGGTATTTTACACCTCTACATGTAACTCTTACAATGGTCATCAGACTCTATACTTCATTTTTAAACTGTTTTTATGTTTATATGCACAGTACTAGCTAGGCTAATTGTATAAAATGTCTTGTCTTGTTGGAATGTTACAAGAATTTAAAGGAGCTAAATTGCTAATATTTGGGACCTAGAAATTAACACAAATGGGTCGCATATAATAATGAAATATGAATGTATATAGACTGAATTACATTCATTTCTGTCTGTTTTTACTGTAATTTCAAATCAGTTATGTTCGGTGATATGCGCCAAAGTCTCAATTAAATGACAATCTTTAGCGTCTGGTTATTCCAGTTTACACTGATTGTTTTTATTGCGCATGCTCTCCAGATAAGAATATAGCGTCACCATTTGACATGACTTGTGGAATATGTCTAGCCTCGTTCTTTGAGTCCCTTGTTCCAAATGGCGCTGAAACGCATTATGGTAAAAAAAAATGTTTATTTTGTCTTGAATATTGGATATCAGAAGCCCATCTTTTCCCTGTAAGATCTCAAGACCAATGTTGATTTAAATTGACAAATAATTTGTGTTTTCAATGTCGAAGATTTTGGATGATATTGAGTTAGAGACTTAGCTACTTTAAAGGACTATACTTCTTGAATTAGGCAGACTGAAACAATTACAGAATACTATCTTTTATCCAAAGCAGTCAGTCCACGGACCCATTCATGACAAAAACAGCAATGGGATGAAAAAGAAATATGAAAAATATAATGATATAAGTACAAAATGTATGATGTCATTACACTGTGTTTTAATTTGTTTATTAACTTTATAATTTCAGTGTGCGCCAAGGTCTAGTAAGTGTGAAAAAGACCGCTAAAAGGAATTTAGAAAAAAGCTCTGTAAATCGACGTCAAACCGGAAAGGAATTTGACATCGCACCAAATAAGGACCACCACTGTTTGATCCCATTTTATGTGGTGGAATATTATATTTTTTTCGCTTGAATCTCCCCGGAACTATTTTATGTTATTGACAACCTTGTCAGGAAACCTTCAAGTTCAACAAAGTGTGAAGAAGAAGTGTGCATTAGTCAGTTATTTGTTCAGGATATATCACTGTATATACCATGGTTATATTGCCCAGTTGAATCATATCTTCCCCAGTATCAACTGTGAGTTATAGTGTATATTAACCAGGGAATATAGGGATAGTATATAGATATAACCATGTAAACTGGGTGTATAATGGACAATTTGTACAGGATTCATGTACAATTTGTATATATGTATCAATCCAAGGATTTAGGATCTTTTTCTGTAGTTAATTTCGTGTGTTTGGAATTTCCCTATGAGTCGAAGAGAAGAAGACTCGTCGGGTAGAAGACCGCTACTCTTTACGTTCGTCGGCAATAACCGTCAAATGTTGCAGGAAATCCGCGACAATTTAAGTCACTTGCGGAAAACGGAAGGGGATGAGAGGAATACATTACAAGCTAATATTGAACTATCGCAAAGTACGCCCAATTTATTGGATAAATCTACGAGTGGGAAAATGACCCGGTTAAACTACCACCAGAAGGCGCTAGCGGAGATAGCGGAGAGTTTACGACCGTACCAGACCGTTAGTAGTGACACGAGCAGTACAAGTAGTGCATGTTCGACCGTAAATGGAGATATAGACGTGAATAGACAGATGTTGTCACAGCTTGTTCATCTAGGTCACGATGAGGTAAGATTTATTAAAACATATAATTACATTCTTCTTTCACATATTTACTGTTCATTGTTGACTGTAATCGATCAATGATGGTAATGTATATTACATGTATAATACATAAGGTACAATTTTATGGATACACAATTACTGGGTTTACTATTAAGCGACATTTCGACGCTGTGTATCCATAAAATTGTACCTTGTGTTAATATGTTCAATTACTAAATGCCAATCAAAGAAGATATATTATACATGTAAGACAAACCAGTGGACAATATACACAATATATACAAGGCATTTCAAGCAATTGATATTGCTACAAACACTGATCAAATGACTGATAAAATGACAGGTTCCAAATTGTTCCTGCTGAAACTTGATCTTGTGCCTGGCAATGTCTGTGACAACAGGTGTCTTATAATCAGGCCTAGTGTACAATGTATGGATGTTAGAGTCTTTAAATCCAGGCCTAGTGTATAATGTCTGTAATGAGTGAGTATACATTATCCCAGGCCTAGTGTATAATGTTTGTAATGATTGAGTGTATCCCAGGCCTAGTGTACAATTTCTGTAAGGAGTGAGTGTATCCCAGGCCTAGTGTACAATTTCTGTACCGTCTTCATTAGCCCAGTATAGGAGCAGAACAGTAGGACGTTAAACCCCATTTCATTTCATTTCATTTACAATTTCTGTAATGAGTGAGTATATCCAGGCCTAGTGTATAATGTTTGTAAGGAGTGGGTATATCCAGGCCTAGTGTACAATGTCTGTAATGAGTGAGTATATCCCAGGCCTAGTGTATAATGTCTGTAATGAGTGACACGTTACGGTGTTAGATTGCATAATCAGCAAATGTGAAATGACATGAAAATGAAATTTATGATTTGTTTAAATAACATTTTAGATGTCAAAGTTCACCCAAAAGTTGTTGGCCGTATTATTTTTATTACATGTATATCAGTACATACTGGTATTACAGGTTTTTTTTTATATCAGTACATATTGGTGTTAAGTTTTTATTATCAGTAGTACTACTAGTACCAGTACCGGTATATTGAAAAAGTATTTGTCTTATAGTTGTAATACCGCTTGGACTTGTATATGGATGAAGGTTTACACTTTGACTAGGGTCATTGATATCAATACATCACATATATAGCATTTTATGGCCTTGATATTTGAGTCTGATAATTAACGATCGATTCAAATAAATAAAGAAATTACAGTTTTTGACCTAATTTTTTACAAAAACTTTGTCTGAAAAAACTTGAAAGGCAATTCGAGCAGTCCAACGAAAGCCAAGCCGTCAATTTCTGCCGGACATGTTCATCCACTTACATGTATTTTAGGGCATGCAGGTAGCCTTCAATCAAGGCTAAGCCCCCAAAATGAGACATTTTTAGAATAGTGTGATTTAATACAGGTACATGTATACAAAGTATTACTAGTGACTCGATGTCTATCTATAGATTTGTATGTACATGTATCTTCCCCACCCGATTCTAACAGGTAAAATATTACAAGGTAAATTGAACAGGTGAGGAAGTATCTTGCTATCTATCACCTGACTAATACAAATACAAGATCCGAATCAGCTCAGAGCTTAATCATAAATAATGAACTCACTTCCTTCCAGCAATCTGTTTAAAATGTAAAGAATTTTTAAAAATGTAAAGAATTTTTAAAAATGTATGTTTATAATGCAAGTGATTAGGCAATTCCGAATGATAAAATGACTTACAAATCATATGGCAATAGAATTTGTCATCTGATCATATTTCCAAATTCTGAATTCAATTTTTTTTTTCACTGAATGATATTACGTAAATATTTCAAAATAAATATTAAAACACAATAAAAAATGCAGTCTTACAATTAAGTATTGGTATATTGGGCCACAATTTATTAAAATTATCCCCCTATTAGCTTAAAATGTGGCTTTGTCCTACCATCTAAATAAAACTCTGTTAACAACCAAGGATTTAATTAAGACTTAATTGTTTTAAATATAATTTTATCAGATTTTAACGGAGGGGGATGATAGTTTAAGAGAGGTTCAAAATCTTATTGATGGTGTTTTTAAGTTAAACTATTTCTAATAGTGGCAATGTACAGTTTAAGGCCTACAAAGTTTATAGGTATATGTATATAAATCCTCCTGTCAAGATTGTACATGTACTTGTAGATATATAAAGTAATATCCCCTAGGGGTCTACGTACTTCTAATTCCTTTAAACTCCCTGTGGCTGTGTTCAAAGGCCATTAAAATAATTTGAGCTTGTTAAAACACATGTTGACAGGCTAAAGGTGACATTCCAGACATTCCACACCAGCTTATTGACCATAAACACTGACAGAGTGGACATTGGTCACACTATTATTATCAGTTACCACAACATGTTATAGCTAATAGGCCCTAACTGACAGTGATCACTGATGCAAGGGAAACCATAAATAAATTAATTCAATAAACTGAAAATCATGAAAGATAAAACCTATTATTAGACTGTAATTGTAAAACTGGACAAGGGGATTAATTCAATAAACTGAGGGAAAAAAAAACCAAAAAAACTATTATTAGACTGTAAAACTGGACGAGGGGAATCGTAAATATATTAATTCAATAAACTGAAAATCCAGAAATGTGAAATATATTATTAGACTGTAAAACTGGATATGTACATGTATTGAAAACCAAGATACGTAAAATATTTTATTAGACTGTAAAACTGGATAAACAATGAAATAGAACAAAGGTATGGGAATCAATGAATAAGTTGGTCATACATGTAAGCCCAGAACAAGACTGATCGCTGATGCCAGATGCCAGGCAAACCATAAATGTATTACATGTAATTCGATAAACTGAAACAATTGAAAGATAAAACCTATTAAAAAGTATATTAGACTATGTCCAGTAAATATGTACCACTGTTTAAGAACCCTACGCTCAAGGCAATTATTGAAATGCAATTGTGCCATATGTTAGGCCCAAAATGACCTCCCCCTCCCCCTTTCCCCGTGGGCTGGCAAGCGATACTGCTTTCAAGTATCGATAATCACTGATCATCTCCAGATCAATAATTAATAATATCAGGAAAGAGTTTTTACTTACAGTTTGTTTTGGGTTACGTCATGAGGAACTATTTGCTCTCTTCATAAGCGGTGACACTTCTTAGAACTGGCAATTTTACCTTGTGGCACTGGCAGGCATCTCGCATGAAAAACAAAACGCGTGTTGAATAAATTTTCTGTTTAATACAGTTAAAGAGAGCTAGGCCCAAACATGCATTGCAAAGAATACCTTGATAAGGATCATCTTTTATGGATTTCTTCTCATAAGTGACTACCTGTACCTATAATTGCACAATTATCGATATTTTAAATCTGTATCGATTATCGATCTTCAAAATGCTTCACCGATGATTATCAGCCATGATGAATATTTTCTGCCACCAGGTTTTGTAATATTTTGAGGTTTAAAGTATGTGTAAACAGTCGTTGTTGCAGTCATTGTTTTTTAAGGCGAGTGATCGCTCTCGAGCGCCTGTTGCTCACCTGAATGTCGACCGAGGGGAGGCTTTTTTCCCTCCCCTTAAAATTGAAAATCGTTCTCCTTTACAAAGTCATTGGGGTTTATTATCATTTATAAAACCAGGAATGACCCCTTTACATAGAATTATTGATCTTCAGAACCATTTCCCATACACATAGCTAATCACTGTCCTTAATTACTAAATCACTCTCCTTAATTTCTAAATCACACTCCTTAATTTCTAAATCATTCGTCTTAACTGGGAAAGTTTTTTGAGGGGAGCGATTTTTTCAATTTGTTGATTGAGGGGAGCCTTTTTTGGCTCTCCTCTAAAATACAAAAAACAACGACTGCTGTTGTTTATATTTCAGAGGAGAGCCCAAAAAGGCTCCCCTCAATCAACAAATTGAAAAAATCGCTCCCCTCAAAAAACTCTCCCAGTTTTGATAAGAAGAGTGATTTAGAAATTAAGGAGAGTGATCTGATATTAAGAAGAGTGATTAGTTATGTGCATGGGAAATGGTTCTAAGATCAATAACTGCATGTAATGGGGTCATTCCTGGTTTCATAAATGATAATAAACCCCAATGACTATGTTTAAAAGGAGAGCGATTTTCAATTTTAATGGGAGGGAAAAAAAACTCCCCTTGGTCAACAATCAGGTGAGCTACAGGTGCTCGACAGCGATTGCTCGCCTTAAAAAACAATGACTGGTGTAAATGATCAGCCAGTTAGGTATTAAAGTAGTTATGGTCAAGTAGTTGTATTCACCACATTCCATAAATACCTGTTCCTATCACAGGATTAATTATATACACCTTCTATACACCTTGGTCACTTCAAACAGATTAGGGAACAAAGAACCACAGGTAAAAAAAACCTCGCTTGATATACTTTATGAGGTAGAACTACTGTCAGCCATACAATACATCATACCCTTATAAACATATTTTACTTCAATTGGTAAATTTCCCTTAAAATGGGGTCACTGACCCCTGATTATTTACCGATCAAGTGAATTGACAAGAACGATTAATTGTTTCTATACCTTTAACCACTTCTGACCCCTATTTTTATTTTTTTTACCAATTCTTTATTCTTGCTCCTAATAAAGGATAAAAGGTTCTTGAACAAATGAACCACATGCCTTTGGTGGTTAGTTCCCCCATTTTTCTGGAGGAAACAACTAAATTTGTTTTTTCTTTTTTGTATGAAATCAATAAAGCATGTGAACAGCTGGTCCTAGTTTTATATTTCTATTGTCAACAGGAAAGATTTTTTTTTTTATCTTACTGTATTTAAATAGATGATTACATGTTTTAAATGAATTGATGACTTTTGTGCTCAGGTTTTATTTCCCGGGATTACATAATTTAGCAGACAGGTGTAAATATGCATGTAGATTATATTGTCATTCATGTTTGATATGACTCAATATTTCATTGTTGTTGAAGATTTTGTCTTACTCATTGGTTTT